CCTCCGTAAACTGTATTCCGCAAAAGTGGCTACTTAAGTACTATGGAGTCTCACACGGGTTTTCCTTGTCCTTTGTAATTTAAATATACTTAATAGAAAACATGTCCAAATATTCATTCTTTTGCTCCCCTGGCGGCAAATCACGTCATCTTCAAATTTCATACTCGAAGAAGGAGTATCTTTCAGTTTTAAAAAAGTTTCCATTTAGGAGATTTGACAAGGCCGTGAGATGTTCAGTCATAAAGCATCGCACCAGCATGTCTATTAGTGCTGCTTTTAAAGTGGGGCGACGGAATCTACATCCATCATAAGATGCGTCAAATTTGACCCATATGGAAATTTTCACGGTGCGGATGCTGTCAACAATTATTTCGCGAATACCCTTTCGCATTTATGTTCCATTATTAGATTTAGGAATTCACCATACTAAAACTGCAAGCAACAGTTTTGAAATTTACCTATTTTCTCTTACACCTCTACCATCTAAACGGAGTTTTCAGGGCTTCTGTCGTTTACTCCAAATATACTGACTGGTACTGACTGGCTGACTAATTCCAAGAGCCCTATATGACGTCTTCTTAATAGCACAAATTTGGAATAAACTACCCATGAGTGTGAAAAATCTGAAAAATTATCCTTTATTTAAGAGAACTATTACTCGATTTTTGCATTCAGAAAATCTCCCACAAATTTTGGGTGCTGAATCCACTGATCGACTCTACCGTAGCGATGGCGTTTTTGGTCTCCGAACACTACGACCGGTCTCACCAGGGACAATTTCGTTGGCCAACAGCGACAGCTGTTCCTCAACGCCTCTACTTTAACTATCCCCAACTTCATGAAAGGAATTGACGACCGATAATCTCCGATACCGTACAATCCCCCCCTTCTTGACGGTCGAAAGTCTGCCGCCAGCAGTCTTTCCTCCTGAAGCCTCCAAACCATAAAAACCACCATCAACTATATTTTTATTCCTTTACCACAGGAGTTTTTTCACTGCTGGTCGGATTTGTGTTTAAGGATTCCCTTGACAATGCCTGTAAACTAGCATTAAATAAAATCGTCGACGTCGTCGTCGTCGTCATCATCATCATCATCCTCATCATCCTCATCAACCTCCGCCGGAGCAGATTCGTACCGATTTCACCCATGAACTCACAGCATCTGGTCTTCTCTTGGTCAATCCTTTGACGGTACTTACGAAGTCTCGCATGGCAATCTTGGAGGAGCACTCGGATCATCCTTCTGCCGTGCTGAAATACCGCTCGTCTCACCAAATCCGTGTTAACCGGTGGCTTGTATGAAACACATTTCGGTAACACATTACTGTCGAGACACCTGTGCAGAAACCGGATCTGCGAATACGTAGAGGCCTCCCGAAGGGCGAAGGTTTCCCATCGCCGGGCCGATCGGAGCGCATCGCGCCCAAATACATTGCCAATAGAAGCGAAGAGCCGAGTCCCAGGAAGTAGTCTTGAAAAAGGAGCCACGATCGCCGGGACAAGAGCTTTATTAGCCCGACGTTTCGGATTCCTACTCGAATCCATCATCAGAGACAAAAGAGCAGAAAAGGGTAGTTGTTGCACAAGGGTCTGCGGTATTTATAGGATGCAGCAGCCATGCTGCCGCATGCCTATGTATGTTCACGGCTTCCCCCTTCATCCGGGATTGTTACACTTGGGGTGATCATTGCTTGATGGCCGACATTCGAGTCGATAATTGCCGCAATTTCATCACATGCGTTGGATGTTGGCGTGATGATTGCTCGACCATCTGATGCGTTGAGCCGGGTGTTGGGAAGAGTGTTCACCAGTGCGCTCCCCGCGTGGCCAATTACTCCGCCTAGACGAAGTCTCAGCACGCTGTATTGAATGGGAAGATCGTTGCACTTGTTGATGGACTGGGGGCCAGTAAACCATGATTCCAGTAGCTCTCGGCTCACTCGGTTGTCACCTCTTGCGAGAATTTCGGCCTCATCGAATTTAAATGTGTGGCCGG